TGCCTGAGACAGGTATAGGGATGAATCACAGATCTAGGACAAAGTTCAAGACCAATTCTGCCATAGCCAGCAGTACATCTTTGGTGAAATCCCTTCAGACTCAATTTCTTCCTCCACTAAATGAGGCAGCTGATTTGTAAAGTTTTCCATTCTGTGAGTCTGTGATCTTGTACTGAAAAGATACTCATGAGAGAATTCTCTTTTTTTCTGGTTTTGTTTCCTAGGAAAGCAACATACGCATTAGGTGCTTGAGATTAATTTTACAATCTGTCTTGCAAATAAAAGAAAGTCACCATTTATTTGGCACCCGCAGGCTCACATCCATTATGAAATGAGGTGTGGCATTAATTGATTAACTACAGATGAGACTGTTAAATGTCAAATGTAGGAAAGTGGCAGTCATGAAGAATTGTAAGAATTGTTACACGGTATGAGATGTGACCATGAAACTAACATTAGGAAAGAATCTGCCCTTGAAATAAAGAAAAACACAGTCTGTGCTACATTATTTCAGGTCCATGTTAAAAATCCACATAATGAGGCAACCAAACATGAGGTACAGCTGCCCTTCTCTGGCTGCTTGTTACCCTTTTAATTACTTGTCCTTTTGTAGTGCTAATCTTGGATTTGGTGTACACCACAACTAAACACAGAACAGCCCATAGGTTAAGCCACCTAAGTTTCTTGCTGTAAGCACTGTGTGAGCAGGAATTTTCATCTGTGTTATTCACTGATGTATCCCAAACAGCAAGTACATAGCAAGCATTGAAAAAATGTGCATCACACAGACGGACTGACTTCCTTTCATTTCCTGCCCTAAATAGATAAGTTATGCTCTTTTTAGAATTATTATTCACTTGTCTTTACATCATTAACTTGCTTCCATAAAAAAGAAGCAAACCACAAGAATTTAGCCCAAGGTAGCCTTAATAAAAGGTAGTTTTGTGTGATAGAGAACAACCAACCCAAATGCTTGACACCTATTTGTCACATTAAAAGAATCTGAATTAGAAGGGAAGGGGGATGGGAATAGGAAAGATAATGGAATGAATTGGACCTTAGTTTCCTATGTACGTATATGAATATACAACCAATGTAATTCCATATCATGTACAACTAGAAGAATGGGAAATTATACTCCACATATGTATAATATGTCAAAATACATTCTACTATCATGTATAACTAATAAGATCAAATAAAAAATAAAATAAAATGAAGAAAAAGAAAATAATTTGAATTAGAAGTCATATTTTTCTTTAATGTAAAATTACTAAGTAATGGCTTGGGAGACTGAGGCAAGAGGATCACTAGTTCAAAGCCAATTTCAGCAAAAGTGAGGTACTAAGCAACTCAATGAGACCCTGTCTCTAAATAAAATACAAAATAGGGCTGGGGATGTGGCTCAATGGTTGAATGTCCCTGAGTTGAATCCCTGGTTACCCGCCCCCAAAAAATTACTAAGAGGACAATCTCAAAGACTGAGAAATTATTTTCTTTATGCTACTAATCAGAGTACTTCAAAAAATAGAAGGAAAAAAAAAACCTACGTAGAGTTTATAAAATGAGATTAAAAATACATGAAAAAAAGAGCTATTAATAACTGTCTCTTGTGTTTCTTCCTCTTAAAATTCCAAACAGTGTGGTCTGCTTCATGCCCACATCAAAGCTAGCCAACGGGCTGAGAATAAGAAACGAAGAGAGCATTCAATATCTCTCTCCTGGTGCCTAAACGCATTTTGCAAAAATGTTCTTTGAATCAACAACAAACTTAGAAAACCAGAAACAGAACAGGAAGATAAACCCACAAGTGAAAACAACCATGACATGGTCACACCCCCTTCCAGTTTTCTCCAAAACATTTTTCTTCCCAGATGAACACAATAAGTCAAAGAGCTCTATTTTTAATGCATGAGGCTTGGTTGTGGCACAAACAGATCAATGAGCAATCTCTTGTCTTCAGGAAAGCATGAGTCTGTGATACAAAATATGTGAGTTTTTAAAATAGCACGTCTGGCATAGAAATCCTCAGAAAGAAAGGATGCATGAAGTCATGAGCAAAGGTTTCCAAGACAGGAAAGTCTCTAAGAGAGAATTTTAAAGTAATGAAAGAGGAAGTGACAATGCATAATTGGGTTCATCATTGCTCAATATTCTCAGGTTATTTTATTTCTCCTCTACCTAGCTATGTAGGAGCTCAGGTTAAAGAAGAAAGGGAATAATTGAAAGGTACCAAGACTAGCTTGAAAACTTCCCACTGAAAGGAGAAAAGTAAAGAATAAATCCAGAGACAAAGGGAGGTAATGTTTTTAAAAAAGGAAAGAAAAAATACCAGTGTCCACACAGGTAAGCTATATAGAGATTGGGAGAGTCAGGCAGCCATAGGGTCAGTTTTGATGCTGTTAATCACAAAAGGGATTTTAAATTAGGTTTTGTACCATGTTATCAATGGAACTCCCATGCAATTTCTTAGAAGTCTGTAATAAAGATTTACATCACTTTTTGATTATTAATAAATGTCATTTGTAAATTTATTCCATGAATAGTTATTGAAAGAGATGGTTTGTTGGGGCTATTTTTATACTGGAAGCCTTGGTAGAGATGGGCCTTAGGGTGAAGCAAGAAAACACAACAACAACACAAAGAAACGAATCCAGAAGAAGAAAATCATATTCCAATACTGCTCCTGGTTCTATTTTCAGAGAACATCCTTATATAGAAAATGGGGCACAACCATTATGGGAAACAGCATAGAATTTCCTCGAAAAGTCAATAGTAGCAATCTCACCTCTGGGTATATCCTCAAAGGAAACTGAAATCAGCAGGTCAAAGAGTATATCTGCACTAAATGCTCAAAGCAGCAGTATTCACAATAACCAAGGTATGAAATCAACTAGTGTGTCTATCAATAGATGAACAGATAAAGAAATGTGGTATAGACATAAATGGAATACCATTTAGCCTTCAAAGAAGACATTTTATCTGGAGATGTAGAATATGGTGAATATAATGAATAATAATCTTCTATACTTGAAAATTGCTTTGAGAAGAGATCTTAAATGTTCTCACTACAAAAAAAAAAAAAAAAAAATCCAGAGTGCACGAGGTGATGGTTAATTAGCCTGATTTTATCAGTTTGTGATGTGGACATATAACATAGCATACCCGAGACACCATGAATATATACATTGTGTTCTCTGCTTCAACTGATGGACTGATGGAGCTCAACCATTCATCTTGGAGACTGTTGGTTCCCTAGACAAATTCTTTCCCACAGTAGTCATCACACTGCTTCATTCTCCTCTAAAGGTTAAAGTCAACCATGACCAGGTCTCACAAATCTCTCCTGAGTTGTGATTAAGTATGACCCAATTCCAAGCACTGTTTGTCTGAGAAATGCCTTCTACCTAGATGGACGGGCATCAAAATTGCCAACAATAGTAACTCAAGGCTACTTCCATTAAAAATTTGGTCTTTACTCTTTAAAAAAAAAAAGAAAGAAAATTACTACAATGCTTTCCCTAGATAATGACACACATGAAAAGCGTTCTCCATGATTAACAATGGCATTTGTCTCGTAGCCCGTGCCAGGAAGGGAAGCATGGGGGCAGTATAGTGACAGAGATCTCTTCTAAAAACAGAATACAGTTCATTCTTCCAGCTCTTCCAGGGGAAACTGGATGATGAGTGTGTTGATGTCTTTTAAAAACAATCTGCCTCATGCTCTTAGATCCCTATCCTGATTAGTGGCTGACCTATATATTTTTGGCAACACTAGTGCCCTACAGGGCCTGATGATTTGACAGGCATTTAAGGTCCTCGGTGAAGATGAATTTTGGAAAAAGCCGAGATAAGCAGACTAATTTCCTACAAAAGTATTTCTTCTGATCTTTGAAATGGTACAGAGTCCATGTCAGTGGATTATTTCAAGCAAGGAAAAGTTTGCCTTATAAAGACTGCCAGTGTAAACAAATTGATCCTCCAGCCCGTCACATGAGCCAGATGAAGCACTCTCTTGCTGGAAGCTGCGGTGACTCTACCTAGAGAGCCCAGGGAGGGCAAACTAACACGGTAGATCACATTTCCTGAGTAAATTATCATCTGTTTCTAATGTATGTGGCGATCATAAAGGTATTGTGAAGATCCAGTGTGACAATACACAGTCTACTGTAGTCCCAGGCAGGATCATTCCCATATAATAGAAACACATTCAACATATTTCTCAGATTGTGAGAAGGAATATAGAAGGGAAAAAAAATCATTTCATTCTTTTGTAGCTTCAGTTTTAGACTAGAATATCTCTAAGGATATCAAAAGTATTATAAAATAATATTATCTAATTTGAATTTTGATTTTTATGACCAATATTTCAAACATCATTTTTTTTACAACAAAGTAATAAGGAAGGTGACCTCTGAAATATTTATTATTTCTACAAGAATTGCTTTGCTCACTGGGCTTCTTTGGTAGATATGTAATTAATTACCATGTTAGAGAAATGAAAGGAGTTTTAGGTAAGAGTTTAGAAACAAGGAGACTAAAACTGAAAGGGAATACCAGACCTAGCATGAAGAAAAATGTCTATTTGGTCTCCTTGCACTGATACCATCCATTAAGACACTGAAATGATACTAAGTCCTCCTTAGATGGCATGTTCCTACAAATAAGGGGAGATGGACATTTGTAAGATAATTATATACCACTGGCCAACAGCTTCAGTGTAATTTACTGCCTTTGGTTGTCACAACAACTTTGCAACATAGGTATTATTAGCACTAATAGGAAACTGAGCCCATTAAAAAACATGAAAGCAAGTAGAAGCAAAGGTGGGACCTAATGACAAAAGGCCAGTCCATTTCACTGAGTCTCAGTGCCTTCTGGAAAGTTGAATCCTGCAACACCCTTCCTATTTAAAAATTTTTTTCCTAAGTTTCTGATCATTAAACAATTAAGCTGAGACCTAACGAACCAGAGGATAAAACTACCCCACGGTCACATACCTGTGGTGGAGTCAATGGTAAAGAGGGATGACAGGTCTCCCGGAATGAGTTCGTAAGCCACCGTACCGTACGTCCCAGAATCCCTGTCCGTGGCGCGGACACTGATGATCTCAGTGCCTGGCTGGGTCTGGCCACTGATGCTTGTCACATAGGTCGATGGGTCAAACACAGGATGATTGTCATTCACATCCTCTAGTTCCACACGAACAAAAGCCTGGGCACTTAGCCCTCCCTGTGGGATGAATGCGTGGTGATGAGTGAGCTGAATATACTGGCATAAAGCATAAATGGCAATGATCCTACAACAGACTTCTCAAACAACAAAATATCATTGTACAGATACAGGTATACATATATATGCCCTCACATATATACACATATGTGCACACACACATATTTCATTTTACTTTTAATCTTGACATGACTTCCTATATGATGGCATGTATTTATATTTCAGTGCTGATTCTTAAATATGAATGAGATAGGGCTGGGGTTGTGGCTCAGTGGTAGCGTGCTTGCATAGCATGTGTGAGGCACTGGGTTCAATTCTCAGCACCATATATAAATAAATAAAATAAAGGTCCATCAACAACTAAAAAAAAAAAAAGAATGAGATTACCACTAAAAGAGCTTATAAGCAAAAATTTCAGAGTAAAGGCTAAAGATATTTAATGAAAGTTGTTCTGATGCCTGAAAAAAAAACTAAAATTACTTTTATCTCTAAAATAATTTGAAGTGAATATTAGTAAGTGCTAAATAAAAGGGATGAGGAAGTATCAGAGGTGGGTGCACCAGTGAAACACGTCACTCAGAGGTATGAGTGATTTGAGTATAGATTTATATATAGGAGCTTGACTTCAGTTATCTGGAAGATTATAAAAGAGAGGAAAGATACAAAGGCTCTGTGGCAAGAGGGCAGTGCACCCCCTGTGGCCTGTTCAGGAACAGCAACGGAGGCCCTGGGGCTAATGTCAGGCAGGGGCAGGTCATGCAGGCTCTGTGAACTTCTTCACTGGAGAGTTTTAAGCACAGGAACAGTTTATTCAACTTCAATTTTAGATAGATAGATAGATAGATAGATAGATAGATAGATAGATAGATAGATATTCAAATATGCATGCATTGGTCTTTTATTTGCAGTCCTGGAGATTCAACTCAGGGCCTCAAGCATGCTAGGCGAGAGCTCTACCACTGAGCTACACCCTTACAAGGTGTTGCTAAGTTGACCAGGCTATCCTTGAACTTGCAATCCTCTGCCTCGATCCGATCCCCTGAGGAGCTGGGATTACAGGCGTGCACCACAGCACTCTGCTTTTAATTGTTGTCCTGGCTACAGTGCTCACAACAGACAGGAAGGCCGTGAAGAAAGGTCCCAGTGAGGGTGCTCACGGAACACCAAGCCAGGAGTGGACCAGCCCAGACAAGGAAGGAACAGTGAAGGGACTTATTCCATGTCCTTGGGATCACTATTGCTTTGATTGCTTTGGATATTGGAATTTTTTAGGCTTGAGAAAGGTGACACAGAGCACAAAGCAGTGAGAAGTGGATCCCAGACTATTTATTTTGTGTCACCTCCATGTAAAACCAAAGAGAAGGGGAGCAAATAAAATAGAAGAACACTGCCCCCTGCAATTTTTCCTTTTCTAAAGCATAACATCTGTTCCTACTTTCAGGCCCCATTTTCCATTGCTATCTGGTACATTTTGACACTTTCCAGTTTTGACAAAAATCCTTGGTAAGTCACAGGAGCCTGGATTTCCTCATTTATACACCCCCCTCCTTTTTTTCCTTTTTCTTTTGTTCTTTTTGTTCCATTTTCCCACTGCGGCAGGGAGGCACTGAGCAAAGAGGAACAAGAATGACAGTGAAGGAGGCTTGGCATGAGACTAAAAGAGGCCTGCCGCTGTGCGGATGGGAGGAAGCGCATGTGGAGGGTGAGGCAGGGCAAGAAAGACGGCATTGTTCAGGGTGAAACTGACAATGGATTTGGAAATGGCTCTTATAATTCTAAGGTCCCTGTATACCAGACTTTGAGGACTAAAAAGGAATTGAGAAACAAATCTTTAGCAATAGTGATTTTCCATGTTCCAAGTTGGGTAAAGTTCCACAGCCCTCCCTGCCAGTTACCAGTTAGAACAGGAGAAGTGAGGACTAGTCATGAGTGGAATAGAACAGTGCTCACACATCCTTCTGGCCTGTGAACAAACAATACAGACAGGCCTGCACCTTCAGCAAAGTAAAATCACCTGCAGGTGTCTGGGTAGGTACTGGAAGAGGGGACCACAGACTGATTATAAGCAAGCAGAAAATCCATGACATCTGACATATACTCTACTTTTCCTCCAAAGAGCCTGCCTTCTCAGATGTGTGTTTTTTTTTTCTTCCTCTTTGGTTTCTCCTCAAGTTCAAGCACTCAGGCTGAAGAAGGGCTGAAAAGGCAGATGAGCAAAGTACCAAAAGACTGGGGGAAAATATGAAGAAATGAACATTTCTCCACTCTAAGATCCTTAAGAACAAAGAACTTAATTCCAAGAACATCCTCAACCAGGCAATGCTATTAAAAAAAAAATCAGCAAATGTTAGACAAAGTGAATGGATTTATTGTCACAGAATTTTGCAAGGAAAATAGACACCTCAGTCTCCCTTTTCTAGAAATTCAATTTTTTTACCTGCTGAATTCATCAAAGGAGGTATTTTCCTATTTTAATAACCATTTATGTGTATTTTAGGTGTATCTTACATGTATTTTTTCTTCAATTGTTATAGTCTTCCTTTTTAAGGTTTTTGTGGGTTTCTTCCTATCACAGATAAGAAATCGAAGCATAGAGAAGCTTGGTGACTTGGTAAAGGAGACTATAAATAGCACATCTGCAACTAGAACAAAGATTCGTCTATCCTCAAAGCCTCTGGTGACTTCTTTTAAATTGAGGTTCTTTTACTCTGCTCTGCTGTGGCATAAATTCTACCTCTCCTGTTAGACTGGCTTTGCATGGACTTGACCTTACAGAATAAAAGAAAAACAGGGCCCCTGTTTTTAAGGAACTCACTGTCTATAAGACAGACTCTAGGTGGCTAGGTCTGTGGTAGGGCAGAACAATTCAGAGCCAAGAGACTGGGTTCAGTGTCTGGCTGTGCCAACATCTGGGCGTGTAGCCTTGAGAAATTCAGGTGGCCCAAAGCTAAGCCACCTCTTCCATGAAGCTGGGTCATCTGAAGACCTGTCATTGAAATGAGTGGCACAATACAGATAAAAGCATTTTTAATGATTAATAGCCATCAAATATAATAGAAGAACACTGCAAGTTAAATAATTGGAGTCAGAGAGATTTGTCTTAGAATTAAGACTTTCCATTTTAGAAAGGTAACAGAAGATAGCAGGGTCTGGGATAACAAGAGCAACAAAGTAGGTGAATAGACACACTTAGAAGGATTTTAAGAATGTGATTAGCTTCATGTAATGTCAAATAAGTTTTGTCACCAGATGAGTTTTTAAAACTTCTCCTTTTAAGGACTGGGAAGCAATTCAGGTGTAGACGCATGATTCGCTTGAGCTGTGAGTACCGGATTAGAGGCCACTTCAACCCTGTAGCCACCCTTCAAAAACTAACAAATCTGGGCTGTATTCTGTATGCTGAAGGCCTCCATGGTCACGGTTCTCCAGCTGCCAAGCTGCACGGCCAGCCCACTAATCCCTGCAGAGAAGTGAGCTTGGTTGTGGCTGCACGGAGCCCGCCATGCTGGTGCGGGTTGAGGCATGTTGCTCCAGGGCAGGGCTGAGCTAGGGGGACCAGACCTGTTACCACCCCTCACCCCATACCTGGCCTGGTGCAGATGCCTACTCCACACAGCAAGACAGGTGGAACCCCAAGCATCCACGCTCCCACCACGTTGACCCCTGCTTCCCCACCAGCAGGAGGAAAACAGAAGTGGAGCAGACCTGAATGAGATTGCAGGGCTACCCAATAGCCTTAGTACTTTTCCAAACCCCAATTAGCATAAATTTGAACCAAAAGCTTTGACCCATGTGCTACATAAACCCCTAGACTAGCACACACTGGCAGCAACCCCTATTGGGGGTTTCCTCTTGCTTCTGCAAGAGTTCAATTTCTATTTTTCACACTTGAATAAATCCTTCTCCTCTCATTCTTGCCTTCTTTTGTCCCATGAGTTTAGTTCTTTAGATTTGCAAAACAAGAACCTGGTAAGAGGTTGTAGTGCTCTATTGGGGTCTGTTGTCACATGTGGAGGGCATGGGCCACCATTTAGAGAGGCAACACACCACTGGATAGTAGTGGAAAAGAATCAGGCTTTGTTGGCTGTGACACTCTGAGCTGACCAAGTGACACTAACAGGCAGCCCCTGCTGTGATTAGCTGCTCAAACTAAAAGGAGCTTTCTCAGCTGCATAGGCCATTACCTTACACAGACCCCACCCACCAGCAGAAGCCAGAAGGGAGTTTGGTTTCAAACTTGGTTTCACCATCAGTGAAAAAACATGTGGTGTGCATGCCCTCAATACATATGTTTTTATTTGTTAACAAGTCATGTATACATTTGCTGTGCTGATATATTATTTATATGAAAAATATCACAAAAACAAAATTTAAAAAAGTCAAATACTCACTTATTCTCCCTAAATTCCAACATGACACTATTGCTGGCATTAATGAAGTGATGTGATCAAATCTATGTTTTAGAGAGAGATACCTGGGTAGTAAGGGAGAGATGTATTTTTAAAAATTCATAAATCAATAAAGAGATTCCTTAGTCAGAAAGGTGGGGAAATGCCAAATTCACCAAGTCATAAGGGTTCATTTTCTCAGAGCCTTTTATATGCACATTTCTAGAAGAAATGAAAACGGCACTGTTTTGGAGAAACTCAGTCCTGGTGTATGAGAATGAGCCACCACATGTAGACAGTGCCATGAGATGAAAGAAACAGGCAGATGGATCTCAGGTAGCACAAGGTGCAATTTACTGGGGATTTATGGAAAGAAGCACCTCTTGAGTGTCAGCAAGACAGGTCTATCCTCACACCCTGAGGCAAGAGGAAGGGATTTATACGCTAAACTAGAAAAAAGAGGGCTGCTGCCAACTGGAATGTCCCTGGCCTTTCTCAAATACTATTAATGTGTCCAAGGTCAGTTAAAATGCAGTGCAGGGGTCAGTAGACAGCACGCAAGACGTTTGGCCCACTGTGAACAACTTTGTTTGTCTTGCAGGCATTGGGATA